CTCTTTATTGTTCATCCAGGAGCATACTGCAACTTCTTTTGCTTTTTGAATTATGCTCTAAGGATGCCCAGGTTTCTTCTGCAACTTGGACAGCTTCGCATTCCAACTGGGCCACTACATCGCACAGATCAGCGCGTCTGAGCGGAGCCAGCTTCCTCTACAATCTCAAAGGCTCTGCTACACGCAGTGACAGCCTTTACCTGCAGAAGGGCACCCAGGAGGCGCCTAAGGTGCCCTCCACCTGACACAGCGTTGGTGGGGAACTCCGCATCTCGGGGAGACCAGGCGGGGTCCTCTGCACCCTGTCCCCACTTGGTTGAGGGAACAAGAGGAATAGAGAGAGGGACATCACTGCCCTGGGAATGCCCCAGAGCGGATGGGAAGGTGGAAGGCGTAGGGACGGGGCGGGGCATGGGCTTCAGGGAATGGCTTCCTGTGACGCCACGGGAGGGAGTATCCTACACAGATAATGAAGCTCAGGGATTGCTGGTTGGATCCCTGGTGTTGAAGCTTGATGATTTTTCCTGTGACCAGGGAGATAGCTTAGGGCGGTTTTTGGCAGCCGAGCACATCTGATGCATGGACGGGCTAAGAAGCCCCGAGAGTGCGTGAAGACGAATGAGCCTGAGTGAAGAGTGAGGCACGCAGGAGACTTGGTGGGGGAGGGCGGAGCAGCAGTCATACTCACATGGTGGGGGAGACACCATGATCACAAAGGGGGTTTTCCCAGGGCGAGGCTTATCCATTGCACTCCGGATGTGCTTACCCCTGCGATTTCCCCAAATGCAGGAAAATCGACTGCAGAATTTGTGGTAGTGAGGGACTGCATTTGCGCTTTACCCTGTGATCCGGTTTAATGTGAAATTCATGGTACCTTAATTTGGTAGTTTTGTTTTTTTCAGTTTCATTGTGTTGTAAGCCTGTTGTGTGGAAGGCAAGAGATAAGTAGGTATTTATTAAGTTAAAATGTTTTACTACATACTCTCTAGGTTTTATTTGTGTTTGTTGGTTTTTTGAAAGGTATTTTCCTAAACACGTGTTGTTGAGAAGGATGATTTTTTGCTTTTTTCACTTTGTGTCTCTGTGGAGTATTAGTTCTGCTTATCAACGGGATGCGTTCACTCCTCGACATACGCATGGTGCTCACATGAGAGGGCCCTGTGGACAGACCACGTGCTATCATGACTGTCTCGGAGTCTGTGCTTTTCCTCCTGGAAAGAAGCAACCGCCAGGGCCACAATCCGAGATGCACATAGAAAGAAAGAGTCAGACTGCTGGCCCGACCAAGTGAGCTCACAGCCCGAAAAGCCCAGCATTACAGGGCAGTGCTAGTTTCACTGCTCATGGGACTGTTTGCCACGAGTTCCTTGAAGCCTGAGCACTAGACAGCAAGGTAGAAGCTATTTCAATTGCTAACCTATTTCTGTTTTCTTTCATTTTTCTTTTTTTCTTTCTCTTCCTTTCCTGTAAAGCTCTTAAAATTTTAGCCACATGTTCCACTTTCACCTTGAAGATCCGCTTTCCAGGTCACTTGACACCCACATGGGAGGAAGAGAATGGTAAATTTATTTTAACAGTTCATCATGGAGAGTCTATGAATACTTCTGCTTTTAGGGGTATTTCTATTTATAAATTTTATATATTGAATTAAACAATGTATACTCATGAAGAAAATGAAATGACATAAGGTTAAATTTTAATATAAATAATGTTGACATGAAACATTTTCGTCATCATCTGTTTACTTGCCTATAAAATCTAAACAAGAATTCTAAATGAAAGAGAATCAAAATCGAAAACGTTATCAGTGATGCAGTGTTTGCCTCTCATGACAACAGCACGTTCCATGTGCAGGCCTACCTTACACTGACAGCATGTATTATTTGCTTTCCTGTCTTAAGGGCAGGCCATACCAGTCATCTCTTCTCTTCCTGTTTTCTCAGGAGGTTCCCACTGTACCATGTACACTTCACAGGGAGATGAAATATCAATAAAATAAAATATTAAATATGCTATACCTTCAGGAAAATCAATGTCTCCTAGATCAAGGATTTGCTTAATAAATCTAAAAAATATATATAAATCTGTATGTGCAGTAGATAAGGGGGTGCACACCTGTAATCCCACAAGTCAGAGGCAGAGGCGGGGGATTGCCTTGAACTCAAGATTGCCTTGCACTACAGTCAGACCATTTCTCAAAGAAAAAGCAAATCAATAAATAAACACATGATCAGTATCCCTTATTGTGCACTGATTAAGCCCACAACCTCCCAAATGAGGACAAAGAAGACTTAAATAAAAGAGTTAATGGCCAGCTAGATAACTCAGCAGACTAAAGGGCCTGCTTAGGCAGAGTGCAGCAGCTAGGTTCGATGTGTGCTGTGCGACCCGCCTCATGGGGCTGGCTGAAAAGCCAGTGAGACTGGGATGTGGCACGCACCTATAATCCCAGCTTTTGGGAGGCTGAACAGGGGCTGATCACAATGAGACAGATCTACGTCCTGAGACCCTGTAAGCCTGGTAGAGCCTGTCCTAAATATAAATAAATAAATAAATAAATAAATAAATAAATAAGGAGCATGATTTTAAGGCTCCAGGATGATAAAAGCCCTTTCACAGATTTTGGGATTTTGCACAGCTTAAGACAAAGATGTTTTCTGGGTGGCCAGTATCTATTTAATTATCAAAGGTGGAGAATACTGAAGAGGGTGGACATCTGAGCAGGACCATTCACAGACCTCTCCATTACTCCCTCATGTCCACTTAGGAGAACTATGTTACCTCCAGGAAGGGCTTCCCCACAGGAGTGAGATGTCTGCAGCTATAGTCCTTGTCTAGTTAATGGAGCTTGGAGCAGGCGTCCTTAGCTGTGGCCTTCTCTTCTCCTGGGAGGCTTCGAGGCTTCACCCACCACTGCAGGCCTCAGCTTGGATCAGTGACTCACAGAGTTTCACTTAGTATGAGTCACCTGCCTGTCTCCAGATCAGATGCCTCAGCATGGACAGACTCCCAACTAGGCATGGAAAGCCAATTGGGCACTTACATCCTGTTGGGAGCTGCTTTGTACTGGTTTCCTTCAAAAAACTATGTAGACTACAGTGAATATACAAGTAAAGTGCTACCACAAAAATAATCTGTACTTGAATGATTACACGCAAGACACTTTTCACACGTGAAAATGGCACGTTCCACATACAAGATCAGTGACACTGCTCACGTGAGTTTTGGTTTACTGACTCTTCTGGTCACACATACATGATATTTTCCTGGTCTCTCTGTCTTTTTAGGAGGTTCTCGTGATGTCTAAGCTGTCTGCACACAGGTCTGCTCCAGGATTCTTTTGCAGTGTTTTTTAGGGAGATATAAATTCTCCTTTGTCTGTGAAATTGAACATTTAGCTCTAATTTTTAGGAAAAATTCTCCATGACATTTTGTGGTTCTTATTTTTTGTAGGAAACTATACCTGGTATGTTTCGGATTGAGTAAAACACAACCATTGGCCAACAATTTTGGTTCTAATGATGTCATAGTTGCTTCATGACTCCTCAACAACCATCCTCAGAACCTGTATTCTGATAAGATGGAATGCAGAAAATATAGACAGATTTCTAGGTCCATATGAATTACCAAAGCTGGACCAAGAAAATTTAAAATTCCAAATAAATTAATGCCCATCAATGAAACTGAAGATATAATTTAAAACTTCCCAGTAAAGGAAATTCCATGTTTTCACAGATTCAAACTTGAAAAAATTACTATAGGGAAAGTCATGTCTCCTTTAATCCCCCTTTGACTACTTCTTGTTCTTCAAATACATATATCTCGTGTTGACAATTTTTTTCTTATATATTTTTTTTTTCCTTTTTTTGTGTGTGTTTTGATACAGGATCTAGCTATATGTTCAAGCTGGCCTTGAAATAACTTTATCATAACCCAGGCTGGCATTGATCCTCCTGCCTCAACCACCTGACAGATGGACCACTGCACCCAATCTGTTTTTGTCACTTTGTAAAGCAGTTCAGGATCACCTCTTCCATGAGTTTCTGTTGTGATGGCTACCTCAGTGTGCTGAATCAATTCAAAATTCTTACTTTTCAAGGGGTTTGGGGTTATATAGTAGTGTACATTGTTGTCAAGAGTGTGTAGGAAAGAAACATGCTTAAAAATATTAAAAATATGACTTGTACGGTCCTTTCTTCATAGAGAACTTAGGAAGAAATTAGCAAACTTGCTGTTCTCTGCCTGGTTGTTCCCCCTAAGCCTCATGCAGGCATGGGGGCAGCTTCTATTGACTTTTTTTATTTTTTGGTGGAATCAGGGATTGAATTCAGGCCCTTGTACTTGCCAGGGAAGTGCTTATTCCATTGAACCATCTCGTGGATCCGGGGGCAGCTTCTAGATTTGGTGACTAATTCATGATCCAATGCTGGATTATGGGAGTGAGTGGTACACTGCTCTGGGGTGAACAGCCTGAGACAACAGA